CATTTATCAGGTATCTGCAGTGTGCTCAGGAGTGTGCTACATAGAGATCAATGGGACAGGAAGAGCTCCTAACCTGGTTGTGTTGAGATAAAGTGTAAGCAGTGTGCAGTGACTTATGCCTGTAATTCCAGCTACTCAAAAGGCTGGGGTGGGAGGAACACTTCAGCCCAGGAGATCGAAGCTGCAGTAAGCAGCAATTGTGCCTCGGCAACACAGTGGGACCGTATCTTTATATGTAAATAAACAAACAGATTGGATAGATAGAGAGATAGATGCTAGATAGATAAAAATTCATGTTTAGGAAGTAGTGTTCTAATCAAAAATAAAAATTCTAAAATTTTTTAAAAATATTAAAAATTAAAAATAAATAGATCAGACAAAAAAAGATTTTAAAAAATTTTTATGAAGTGCTGTTCAAATGGGCAAGGTGGCTCACGCCTATAATCCCAGCATTTTGGGAGGCCAAGGTGGGCGGATCACCTGAGGTCAGAAGTTTGAGACCAGTCTGGCCAATGTGGTGAAACCCCATCTCTACTAAAAGTACAAAAATTAGCCAGGCATGGTGTTGTGTGCCTGTAATCCCAGCTACTCGGGAGGCTGAGGCATGAGAATCACTTGAACTTAGGAGGTGGAGGTTCTACTGAGCCGAGATTGCGCCATTGCACTCCAGCCTGGGCAAAAAGAACAAAACTCTGTCACATACACACACACACACACACAAAAAGGGGGGGGCTGTTCAAGGCATATGCCTGTAGGAGGTCAACCTTGAGTGTTTAGACACAAGAGCTCCTGAGACATTAAACCCTGGAGTAGATCATGGGAGACCTGAGAACCACGTATAAGTGAGTTTAAGGTTCCCCTTCCTCGTTCTCCAGTGAGCACTGGTGGAAGTGTTCATTGGCTCAAACCAGCATGTGTTTGATGATTTAGGATTCAGTGACGTTTGATGATGTGGCTGTGGAGTTCACCCCAGAGGAGTGGGTTTTACTGGACACAACTCAGAAATACCTCTACAGAGATGTGATGCTGGAGAACTACATGAACCTGGCCTCTGTGGGTAAGAGTAACATCACTTTGCTTGGCATGGTAGCCTGCACCTGTAGTCCCAGATACTTGGGAGGCTGAGGTGGGAGAATTGCTGGAGCTTGGGAGTTTGATACTAGCATTGGCAACATTGTGAAACCTCATCTCTAAAAAAAAAATCTTAAAAATAAAGACTAGGCCAGTCACGGTGGTTCACGCCTGTAATCCCAGCACTTTGGAAGGCTGAGGTGGGCAGATCACGAGGTCAGGAAATCAAGACCAGCCTGGCTAACACGGTGAAACCTTGTCTGTACTAAAAATGCAAAAAATTAGTCAGGCATGGTAGCACATGCCTGTAGTCCCAGTTACTTGGGAGGCCGAGGCAGTACAATCACTTGAACCCAGGAGGGGGAGGTTGCAGTGAGCTGAGATTGCTCCACTGCACTCCAGCCTGGGCGACAGTGAGACTTCAACTCAAAAAAAAAAAAAGATTTTTAAAAATCCACTTTTCCTCAGAAGATTTAAGCTATTTTTCTCAGACTTTCAGATATCTCTGACTTTTATTTTCCATCTAGTCAAACAAAGCTACCTGTTCTGTTTTTTGTTTGTTTTTTTTTAGACGGAGTCTCGCTCTGTCACCCAGGCTGGAGTACAGTGGCGCGATCTCTACTCACTGCAAGCTCCGCCTCCCGGGTTCTTGCCATTCTCCTGCCTCAGCCTCCTGTAGCTGTTCTGTTTTTTTGTTATGTTTATTATTTTGATATATGCTCTTTATCCTGATCTTTCCTACTTTCCTTTCCTGATAATCTTCTCTTCCTGTTTCCCATCAGTTGTAGTTTTCGCAGAAACAGTTTGTAATGAACTATCTAAACACATTTTGGACAAATTTTTGACATACCAAAATCCTCAAGGTTCTCTTGCTTTTATTTTCTTTTTTCTTTTTTTTTTTTTTTTTTGAAATGGAGTCTCGCTCTGTTACCCAAGCTGGAGTTCAGTGGTTCGATTTCGGCTCACTGCAGCTTCCACCTCTCAGGTTCAAGTGATTCCCCTGCCACAGCCTCCCGAGTAGCTGGGACTACAGGCACGCACCAACATGCCTGGCTAATTTGTGTGTGTGTGTGTGTGTGTGTGTGTGTGTTTCAGTAGAGGTGGGGTTTCACCATGTTGATCAGGATGGTCTCGATCTCCTGACCTTGTGATCCACCTGCCTCGGCTTCCCAAAGTGCTGAGATTACAGCCGTGAGCCACCGTGCCTGGCCTGTGGCTTTTATTTTTTTGTTGTGTTTAATTTGAAAACAAGGCCAAATGACTCATTTTAAACTAACACATTTCTTCTCTAAACCCTTAGATTTCTTTTTCTGCTTAACTTCAGAATGGGAAATACAACCTAGAACCAAACGGTCATCACTTCAGCAGGGTTTTTTGAAGAATCAAATATTCACTGGCATACAAATGGTAAGATTCATGAGGGATATTTCTTTTTTTCTTCTTTTTTTGATTGAGACAGAGTCTCGCTGTGCCAGGCTGAAGTGCAGTGGCACCATCTCAGTTCACTGCAACCTCCAGCTCCCAGGTTCAAGCGATTCTCTTGCCTCAGCCTCCCGAGTAGCTGGAACTAAAGGCATGTGCTACCACGCCCAGCTAATTTATTGTATTTTTAGTAGAGACAGGGTTTCACTGTGTTAGCCAAGATGGTCTTGATCTGACCTTGTGATCCACCTGCCTAGACCTCCCAAAGTACTGGGATTACAGGCGTGAGCTACTGTGCCAGGCCATGAGGGATATTTCTTAATTTCCTCTCTCAGCAAAGATTGAGAATTCCATTCCAGAAAATCAGCCCAGTTAGTGGTGTGGTTTACATCTGTAATCCCAGCTACTTGGGAGGCTGAGGTGGGAGCATCATTTGAGCCCAGGAGTTCAAGACCAGCCTAGGCAGTATAGCAAGATCCCATCTCTGATTTTAAAAAGAGGCTGGATGTGGTGGTTCATGCCTGTAATCTCAATATTTTAGGAGGCAAAGGTAGGTGGATCACTTGAGGTCAGGAGTTTGAGACAGGCCTGGCCGGCATGGTGAAACTCCATCTCTACTAAAAATAACAAAATTAGCTGCGTGTGGTGGTGGGCACCTGTTATCCCAGTTACTCTGGAAGCTGAGGCAGGACAATCACTTACTCAGAGGTGCAGGTTGCAGTGAGCCAAGACTGCACCACTGCATTCCAGCCCAGGCGACCGAGTGAGACTCTGTCTCAAAAAAAAAAGGGGGGGAAGTCAGAAAAGAAAGTGAGTCCTGTAATCCCAGCACTTTGGGATTGATCCACCTTCGAGACCAGCCTGACCAACATGGTGAAATTCTATCTCTACTAAAAATATAAAATTAGCCAGGTTTGGTGGCAAGCACCTATAATCCCAGTTACCTGGGAGGCTGCGGCAGAATTGCTTAAACCCGGGAGGTAGAGTTTGCAGTAAAAAGAAACAGCACAAATGAGAGATACTTGAGAGAGAAGTAGCCTGCACCCTTGAGGGAACAGGGTCTCTGGAGAGAGTCTGAATGTGATGAATTTTGTGATGTTCCATACCTGTATAACTTGTCACTTCAAAATACCCACAAGTACACACTCACACATATGTAACTAGACATTGAGGATTTAAACAGTTTCATGAAAATCTACACAATTTGGCTGGTTGCAATGGCTGATGCCTGTAATCCTAACACTTTGGGAAGCTGAGGCAGGAGAATTGCTTGAGTCTAGGAGATCAAGACCAGCCTGGGCAATAGGGAGACCCTGTGTCTACAAAAAAACAAAAAGTTAGCCAGGCATGTTGGCATGCATTTGTAATCCAAGCTCCTTGGGGAACTGAGGCAAGATGATGGTTTGAGCCTGGGTGATTAAGGCTGCAGTGAGCTGTGATTGTGCCATGGTACACAGCCTGGGTGACAGAGAGAGACCCTGTCTCAAGCCACCCCCAACAATCAAAAAAGACAGTGTTTTTGTTTGTTTGTTTGTTTGTTTGTGTTGAACAATTAGAGCCAGTGGCATAGAATTCTGGCAAGAAATCAAGAGGGTAGGAAATGAGACCATGGAAGAAAATTTGTAAAAATTATATTTATCTAAGTAGGCTGACTTGGCAGCTCATGGCTGTAATCTCAACAGTTTGGGAGGCTGAGACATAGTGTTTCTTGAAGAGTTTGAGACCAGCCTAGGCTACATAGCAAGACCTTGTCTCTATAAAAATAAATTGAGGCCGGGCACGGTGGCTCATGCCTCTAATCCCAGCACTTTAGGAGGCTGAGGTGGGCGGATCACAAGGTCAGGAGTTTGAGAACGCTCTGGCCAACATGGTGAAATCCCATCTGTAGTAAAAATACAAAAATTAGCTGGGTGTGGTTGCACATACTACTCGGGAGGCCCAGGCAGAAGAACCGCTTGAACCCAGCAGGCGGAGGTTGCAGTGAGCTGAAATTACGACAGTTCACTCCAGCCAAAGTGAGACTCCATCTCAAAAATAAATAAATAAATAAATCAAAAGATTGGCCAGGCGTGATGATGCATGCCTATAGTCCTAGCTACACAGGAAGCTAAGGCAGGATGATCACTTGAACCCAGCCAGGCATTTGAGGTTACAGTGAGCCATGATCACAGCGGTGTACTAAAGCCCAGGCAATGGAGCAAAACCCCAACTCTGAACAAAGTAAAACATGCCATGCATAGTGGGTCATGCCTGTAATCTTACCTCTTTGGGAGGCTGAGGCAGGCAGTGCACCTGAACTCAGGAGTTTGAGACCAGCCTGGGCAACTTGGCAAAACCCGTGTCTACAAAAAAATAGAAAAATTACCCGGTGCGGTAGTGCACAACTGTATTTCCAGCTACTCGAGAGGCTGAGGCATCAGGATCACTTGAGCCTGGGAGGTGGAGGTTGCAGTTAGCAGAGATTGTACCACTGTACTGCAGGCCGGGAGATAGAAGAAGACTCTGTCTCAAAAAAAAAAAAAAAAAAAAAAAATTAAACATGAAAAAGTAAAATAATAATTGTCATCAAAATAATGTTTATGTGTTCAGATGGGTGAAATCTCTTTATATGTCTGAAAATGTTTTAAATCCTTTATCCCCTCCTCAGCAGACAAGAAACTACAGTGGATGGAAACTCTGTGAGAATTGTGGAGAGGTCTTCAGTGAACAGTTTTGCCTTAAGACACACATGAGAGCTCAGAATGGAGGGAACACTTCTGAGGGTAATTGTTACGGAAAAGACGTCCTCAGTGTGCACAAGGAAGCCTCTATTGGACAGGAACTTTCCAAATTTAATCCATGTGGAAAAGTTTTCACCTTAACTCCAGGCCTTGCTGTACATCTTGAAATTCTCAATGGAAGACAACCCTATAAATGTAAGGAATGTGGAAAAGGCTTTAAGTATTTTGCGAGCCTTGATAATCACATGGGAATCCACATTGGAGAGAAACTCTGTGAATTTCAGGAATGTGAGAGGGCCATCACACCTTCCTCACACCTAAAGCAGTGTGTAACAGTTCATACTGGAAGGAAATCTGAAAAGACTAAGAATTGTGGGAAATCCTTCACTAATTTTTCTCAACTTTCTGCACATGCGAAAACTCATAAAGGAGAGAAGTCCTTTGAATGTAAAGAATGTGGAAGATCCTTTAGAAATTCCTCATCCTTTAATGTTCATATTCAGATTCACACTGGAATAAAACCACACAAATGTACGGAATGTGGGAAAGCCTTCACTAGATCAACTCACCTTACTCAACATGTAAGAACTCACACTGGAATAAAACCCTATGAATGTAAGGAATGTGGCCAAGCCTTCACTCAATACACAGGCCTTGCTATACACATACGAAATCACACTGGAGAGAAACCCTATCAGTGTAAGGAATGTGGGAAAGCCTTCAATAGATCTTCAACGCTTACTCAACATAGAAGAATTCACACAGGAGAGAAGCCTTATGAATGTGTTGAATGTGGGAAGACCTTCATTACTTCTTCCCATCGTAGTAAACATTTGAAAACTCACAGTGGAGAAAGGTAAATGCAAGAAATGTGGGAAGGCATTTCTGTATTCCTCACCCCTAATGTTCACCTGCAAACTCGTACCAGAGAGAAACCCTTCGTATGTAAAGAATGTGGGAAAGCAGGCTGGGCGCAGTGGCTCACGCCTGTAATCCCAGCACTTTGGGAGGCCGAGGCAGGTGGATCATGAGGTCAGGATATCGAGACCACCCTGGCTAACATGGTGAAACCCCATCTTTACTAAAAATACAAAAAATTAGCCCGGCTTGGTGGCGGGCACCTGTAGTCCCAGCTACTTGGGAGGCTGAGGCAGGAGAATGGCGTGAACCCAGGAGGCGGAGCTTGCAGTGAACTGAGATCATGCCACTGGACTCCAGCCTGGGCGACAGAGCGAGACTCCGTCCCCTCCCCACCCCAAAGAAAAAAAAAGAATGTGGGAAAGCATTTGCTGTTTCCTCATGCCTAAGTATGCATGAAAGAATTCACACTGGGGAGAAATCCTATGAATGTAAGGGTATGAGTATTACCATTTAGTCCATTGGTTGCCACATTTAATTATTGGCAGTGCAGAGATCATCAGATTTGTCCTAAATGCCTTGTGGAGGTTGTAATGGCTCATGGATTGGCCTTAGATGCCATCCTGAGGGTCTGAAATTAAACCTACAGGATCTGAATACAACTTCATGGTTGCCTGAGTCTGGGCATCTGTGAAGAAGGGTCATGGATGGTGAGGTCAGTACTGCAGGCTGCCTCACATTAGTGATTAGATTCCTAAGATCATAGCGTTAACAAGTTCTGTATGAAATACATCATGCAGATTGATCCCAGCCCCTGTTGGTTAGTGGCTGCCAGTGTGGCACATTCATGTCAAAATTTACCAGAAGCCAAGATGTAGGCCCCGGAGGTGGATTGTTAAAAAGATGCTCCTCCGAGGGACTCTTCTGTTCCCATGGATCCTGCAGAGCATGGCAGGTATGAAACCATCCTTAACTGCCAGTGCACTTTCATAGCTGATTATTTCTGTGTCCCCTTCTTTTTACAAGAAGTGTGACAACCTTGCCTGTTCTGTCCTCTCTGTCCATTTTAGGTGGTACAATGTAAGTGGCAGTGTGTCTTCTAGTATAATCTGGTCTCTCTTCTCTCTTCTGTTAAGATGACTGATATCGTCCATGAATCCCACTCATGATCTCTTTATCAAATAAATGATTGTTCAGCCACACTTTGAGGATTCTCTTCAGTACAAGTTTTCTAATTTTTGCAGTATGGATAGGCTGAGAATTTTCCAAATCTCCAAGTTCTGGTTCCTTTTTCCTTAACTATTTCTTCTGCAATTCAGGTCTCCTCTTTTGCATTTTTGCCGAGACCAGCTCCGTGGTGGAGACCCTAACCCAGTGGCGCTAGAGGAATTAAGGCACAGACACAGAACTAGAGTGCAGAGTGGGAATCGAGGCTGACAGCCTTCAGAGCTGAGAGCCTCCAACAGAGTATTTACTGACAGTAAGCCCGTGATAAACATTATTTCTATAGATTATAGATTAGGTAAAAGTATCCCTGAGGGAATGAAAGGGACAGGCTGTGCCTTGTTATCTGCAGCAGGAACATGTCCTTAAGGCACAAATCACTCATGTTATTGTTTATGGTTTAGGAATGCCTTGAGCGGTTATCCAGTTTTCTGCCCTGGGTGGATCAGGTGTTCCCAGCCCTCATTCCAGTAAACCAGCAACCTCCAGCATGGGTGTCATAGCCATCAGGAGCATGTCACAGTGCTGCAGAGATTGTGTTTATGGCCAGTTTCTCATGGCCTGTTTATGGCCATATTTGGGGGCCTGTTCCCAGCACATTTTCTTGTAAGTAGTCAGGAAGAATGAAGCTTCCTGTGTCCTTTAACACTGTAATTACAGATCTTAGTGATACATACCCAATTTTATGTCTCTCAAGCTCTACCTTGCACTAAATGTTAGAATACAGTTCTGCCAAGTTCTTCACGACTTCATATCAAGGTTTGTCTTTTCTTCATTTCCAAATAGCATGTTCCTCATTCCCCAATGACACCTCACCGGAATCACCCTTACCAACCTTATTTCCAGCTTGCACATCAGAATTTTTCCAGCCTCTACTCATTTATCAGTTTCAAGGCTGCTTCACATTTTTAGTTTTTTTGTTTGTTTGTTTTTTTGTTTGTTTGTTTGTTTGTTTGTTTGTTTGTTTTTGTTTTGTTTGTTTGTACCTCACTTTTCAGTGCCAAAATCTGCGGTAGTCAGCTCGGGCATCCATAACAGAATACCACAGACCAAATGGCTTACAAATTCATTTAATTTAAAATAAATGAGGTTAAACATAATTTTTTTTTCTTTTTTCTGTTTTTTTTTTTTTGAAATGGAGTTTCGCTCTTGTTGCCCAGGCTGGAGTGCACTGGCGTGACCTCGGCTCACCGCAGCCTCCACCTCCTGGGTTCAGGCAGTTCTCCTGCCTCAGCCTCCCAAGTAGCTGGGATTATTGGCATGCATCCCAAATCTTGGCTAATTTTGTATTTTTAGTAGAAACAGGGTTTCTCCATGTTGGTCAGGCTGATCTCCATGTTAGTCAGGCCTGAGCTCAGGTGATCCACCCGCCTCGGCCTCCCGAAGTGCTGGGATTACAGGCCTGAGCCACCGTGTTTGTCCCAAAACACAAATCTATATTCTCACATATCTGGAGGCTGGAAGTCTGAGATCAGAGTGCCAGCATGGTCAGCTTCTGGTGAGAGCTCCCTTCCTGGCATGTCAGTGCCCACTTCCTCATGTCTTCACACGATAGAGACCAACAAATAGGTCAGTCGGTCTCCCCTCCTCACCCCGCCCCCTTCTCTTTTCACATACAGTCACACTGGGATTTGGAGCTTCGTATGAAATTTGGGGGTCACTGGGGTCACTATTCATTCCTGAAGTGGAAAACTAAGAGTCATTATTTACAGATTATCTGATTGTCTATGTGGAAAGAGAAAAGAATCATTAAGTACTTTGGACTGAACAATGACGCCCAAAATTCATGTGATGAAGCTCTCTAAATAGTTTCTTGCTCTACTGGACTGATTTCAACCTGCAGCACAATATCAACTAAAAGTAGTAATACAGCATACTTGTCTTTGCAGTTCTGGTGAGATACGCGCTCCATATTATTGGCTTGGCTGTAGCTTTTTATTTTTTATTTTGTGAAGAGGTTATCTTCTGCAGGAAAGGTTTTTTCTTTATATCCAGTTTTTACATGATGAATGATTTCCCAATATTTCATAATTTATGGGGCTGAATTCCTCTTGAATTTGTTAAAGGCTTCCTACGCATCCTCTGTGATGATCATGTTTGTTTACTGATAAAACTCAAGTACCTAGAACTGCACCTAACTCATGATGGTACCTAATAAATACTTCAATGAAACGTTGTGGTGATGCATGCCTATAGTTTTAGCTACTTGGGAAGATGGCCTGAGCCCAGGGGTTCTAGACCAGCTTAGGCAACATAGCAAGACCCCATCTCAAAAAACAAGCTTGAAGAAGTGAATGCATGGAAGGGCGCTTTTCTAAAATGTGATCAGGCTGGGTGCCATGGCTCATGCCTGTAATCCCAGCAATTTGGGAGGCAGGGGTGGGCAGATCACTTGAGGTCAGGAGTTCAAGACCAGCCTGGCCAACATGGTGAAACCCTCTCTCTACTAACAATACAAAAATTAGCTGGGTGTAGTGACACACCTGTAATCCCAGGTACTTGGGAGGCTGAAGCGGGAGAATCGCTTGAACCCGGGAGGTGGAGGTTGCATTGAGCGGAGATTGCACCACTGCACTGCATGCTGGGTGACAGAATGAGACTCTGTCAAAAATAAATAAATTAACTAAATGTGGTCTTTGTATTTATTTCTTTTCGAATGTTACATCAACCTTGTATTCCTGGATACGCTCGACTATGGCATAATAGATCATTTAAAAAGACTTATTTGATTATCTTTACTAATATGTTATGGAGCTATGCTTGAATAACATTGCAATTTTTTTTTTTTGTCCCTGAGTGATATATATATAATGACTGTCATATACTGTACTGGGGCATGTTTCTACTTTTTCTGAATTCTTAATCTATAAGAATCATCTAGGCCGGGCGCGGTGGCTCAAGCCTGTAATCCCAGCACTTTGGGAGGCCGAGACGGGCGGATCACGAGGTCAGGAGATCGAGACCATCCTGGCTAACACAGTGAAACCCCGTCTCTACTAAAAAATACAAAAAATAGCCGGGCGAAGTGGCGGGCGCCTGTAGTCCCTGCGACTCGGGAGGCTGAGGCAGGAGAATGGCGCAAACCCGGGAGGTGGAGATTGCAGTGAGCCGAGATCCGGCCACTGCACTCCACTCCAGCCTGGGCGACAGCGTGAGACTCTGTCTCAAAAAAAAAAAAAAAAAAAAGGAATCATCTAGGCTGGGAATAGTGGCTCAAGCCTGTAATCCCAGCACTTTTGGAGGCTGAGGCAAAAGGATGCCGTGAGCCAAGGAGTTCAAACCAGCCTGGGCAACATAGCGAGACCACATCTCTATTTAAAAATACTACAAAATATTTTCGTTTTTTTGGTTTGTTTCTTTGTTTTTGAGATGGAGTTTCACTTGTTGCCCAGGCTGGAGTGCGATGGCGTGATCTCAATTCACTGCAAACTCTACCTCCCCGGTTCCAGCCATGCTTCTGCCTCACCCTCCCGAGTAGCTGGTATTACAGGCAGCCTCCACCATGCCTGGCTGATTTTTATATTTTTAGTAGAGACAGGGTTTCGTCAAGTTGGCCAGGCTGGTCTTAAACTCCTGACCTCAGGTGATCCCCATGCCTCATACTCCCAAAGTACTAGGATTATAGGCGTGAGCCACCGCGCCCGGCCAATATTACAAAATATTTTAAAAAGTTAAAATTATCTCTTCTGGCTGGTCATAGTGGCTCACACTTTTAATCCTGGCACTTCGGGAAGCTCAGAAGGATTCCTTGAGGCCAGGAGTTCAAGATCAGTCTGGGCAACACAAACTCTCTCCAAAAAAATAAAACAACAGTTATCCGGCCAGGCATAAGTGGCTCACGCCTGTAATCTCACCACCACTTTGGGAGGCTGAGGCAGGCAGATCACAAGGTCAAGAGATCAAGACCATCCTGGCCAACATAGTGAAACCCGTCTTTACTAAAAATACAAAAATTAGCTGGGTGTGGAGGTGAGCCCGTGTAATCTC